TGGGGCCACGAAACGCTGTACTGGGTGGTGGGGACGCATGCGGACGGTAGCACTGGGACCTTCGGTGGGGCTCCCTATGGGGCCACGAAACCCTGTACTGGATGGGGGGACGCATGCGGACGGTAGCACTGGGACTTTCGGTGGGGCTGCCTATGGGGCCACGAAACGCTGTACTGGGAGGGGGGGACGCATGCGGACGGTAGCACTGGGACCTTCGGTGGGGCTCCCTATGGGGCCACGAAACGTGTGAGGGGTATGCTGAAACGGGTGATGATGATGATGACGATGATGATGTTGGGAGGGGGGAGGAGGGGGAGGAGGAGAGGAGGAGGAACGCGGGGCGACGTCTCTTCAAAACGAGGACCCAACACCCCAGGATGGTTGGGAAAAAAACTAAAAAATGTCCCCACATTACTTTAGTATGTTTGAATATTCCTCCTGTAGAGGGGCAGGCCCGACTTCAATCCAGGGCGGCCTCGGGCGGGCCACCCCTGAGCCCCAGCAGCCGCGGGCCCGGGGGGAATCGAGGCCGCGAGGAGGGCAACATCTGAAACTCCATCGCAAGGCCGCGCGGCGTATGAACATGCGAATGATCACGGCCTCGGCCTCGGCCCCGGCCCCAGCCCTGGCCCTGGCCCTGGCCCCAGCCGCGGCCCGAGCCCGAGCCCTAGCAAAGCCCAAGAGGCTCCCAAGAGAGCCCCAAGAGAGGCTCCAGAGCGTCAGCGTCGTCGTCGCCGCCGCCGCCGTCGTTGCCGTTCCTCTTCAGGGTCGGCGGCACCGGCCGCTAGGCCTTCCCAATGATCATTCTTCGGCGGTGCACTCTGGCACCAGATGGCGCCCAGCCAAGGTTCTCGGGAGCCACGCAAGTGACGAAAGAAAAAAACATGTTTTTCGCGTAGCGGCAACAGACCGATACCGCTGGCGGGAAGGCGTCAAGCTCGAAGAGCATCACAGATCAAGCTATAAGTGGGCCAAGAAATATTGATAGCCGACAGGGGGTGCTCAGCCGCCCGGGGCGTCATGGCGGCACGGTCAAGAACGACATGATGGTGCCCACGCCTGAAGAAACAAAAACCATGCTTCCCATGACGTCTCGCTGCGCTTGGGTTAGCAAGCATCAGCCTGGCCGATTCGGCCTGACATCCCAACATCATCCGAGTAGCTTCACTCCAACGTGATCCGATCGCTGCCCCCTCGCAGTCGACCTGTGAAGGGGGGCCGTCCCCATCTGTCGGCCCACAGTGCGGCTTTGCGTAGGCTGCACACCGTGAACCCGCGACAGGCCCCCCTCCCCAACAAAGGGTGTCCGAGCGCGCGCTCCCTGGAGCAGGTCAAGAGCCGCCCGAAAGAGCACGACTCTCTCCCGAACATCACCGACGCCACACGTCCGAAGCCTGCAGGCTCTCGGAGCAGGGAGGGAGCGAGGGGGAGAGCGGAGAGGGGAGCGGAGCTGGGCCTCCAGGGCCTCGATGGTGCTGGTGGCGATCACCATCGCACCAGCCTCGCCCACGTCGTTCAGCCGCCGTCCTTTGGGGGAGGGGAGAGAAAGGAGGAGGTGGAGGAGGATAGCAGGAGAACCAGCTGCATAAACACAAACTTTTGGCGATCCGCGCGGGTTCCTTGGATCTGCGCTGGGCCCCCCCCTCCCTGGCGCGCGGAGCACGCCAGGGGCTGGCGGGTCCTTGACAAATCTATGAAAGAGGCCTGGGCGGGACTTCAGGAGTCTCTGGCCCACCTGACAGAAGCTGCGCTGGACGAGGCAAGGAGGAGGAGGAGGAGGAGCAGGCGGAGGAGGTGGAGAAGGAGGAACACGAGGGGAGGAGCAGGAGGAGGAGGAGAGGAAGTTTCAGCAGCGTGATGCCTGAAAATGGCAGGAGGAGGAGGAGGAGGAGGAGGAGGAGGAGGAGGGGAGGAGCAGGAGGAGGAGGAGGAGGAGGAGGAAGTTTCAGCAGCGTGACGCCTGAAAATGGGAAAGGCCAAGGAGGAACCGCACGGTGTGGCCACCGTACCTTCCGGGGGCCTCCGACGCATCTCCGCGCCTCGGTCCCCTCGAGCCTCGCACGGCTGGCGCCGGCCGGGGGCAGGGCCCTGGCCGGCGCGAAGGTCAGTCTCGCCCCGCCCGTCTCGGCGAAGGAGACGAGCAGGCGATACAGTGGGGACTCGGCCACAAGAAACCTCCGCAAGAAACCCAACCCTGAAATGCACGATTGGCTCGATGAAAATCCACAGGTGTCGATCGAAAATCGTCAAGATCTGATTGGGAGCCCATCAAAATCCAAGAAACCCAGGGCACCCTGGCAAAATCCAACTGGTTTCTTGGCACGCGCCCCCACGGTAGAGACTTCGATGCTCGATCCCCGAGCTTGGACGGAAGCGAAAGGCGAGTTCGGAGGGGGGGTCAGAGGACAGGGAATCCACCCACATAAGAATCACCCCGACAAGCGAGGCCGTTCAGAAAACGCACCCAGGGCAGGAATCGAACAGAGCAGGGCTGGTTAGC